TCTGGCCCACTGCGGAGTGGGGTATCAGCTACAGAAGCACTGCTGCCTTTATTGTCCCCAGCCGGGGGTGAGGTGCTCCCAGGGCTACCAAGCCTCAGTGGAAAGGGCAATCGGCACCAGTCACAATCTGGCCCGGCGATCTCAAGAGTCCAGGGTGGGGCTGCCAGGGCCCCTCTTGCTTACACCCAGGATCCCGGGCGGTCTCATCTCGCTGGAGGGCCAAAGCAGCTTCGGGAGGGCCGGGCAGGTCCCACACAAGCTCTCTGGGCCGGCAGAAGCGGTGGGGTGTTCCCAGCACTGCGAGTAGGCCCTGTCTCTTATCCTTCCCCCGGGGCCACTGGAAATGCCGCTTCCTGGCCTGAATATCTGAAAGAAAGGGGTAGGTGAGAAGGGGCTAGTGGAGAGCTCCCCTGCTCCGCCCCTACCTCGCTGTGCCTGAGATGCAGGTGGTGAGCAGACCTCTGACTTGTCCGGCCCCCACCCCCAGCCTGACTGCCCACCTTGGGAGAAAAAGGGTTCTCTAGCAGGAGAGATGGAGACCAGAGTGGTTCCCAGACAATACTCACGCCTCCCTTGGCAGGGGGCTTGGGAAGTTAGAATTGACCTCTGATCTCCTGGCTTCTGTGTCCAACATGTTGGGGTTAAACAGGCCATCACTCTCTCCTCAGGCCCCATTGCTGGCCCTGTGCCCAGTGCTCCTGTTTCACCTCAGCGGTCAGCCCTTTTTCTCTGCTTCTTCCTCTGCCTGGGATGCTCTTCCTAGGGCAGGGGCCATGAAGAGAGACAACCCCACTTGGTAGCACCCTGCAGTCAATTCTCTGACACTGATCGTGGACTTCAAGGCCAGGCCCATCTTAAGGAAGTGGGAAGCTGAAGCCAGATGCGGCCACACAGCCTGAGACTGCAGAGCTGGCACCCACTCCAGGCCTGGCCACCGCTGGGTGCTCGTTATGTTGAGGACCTCAGTCACCTTCCTGATTCTCTGGCCTGTGCCCCTGCCCCCTAGGAGCCCCTAAAGGTGTGGGGAGGAGGGCTGCTCTACCATCTCAGGTTCCTTGTTTCAAAGACCGTCTCCTCATCGCTGTCCAGCGAGGCCACGTCGGTGGGATCCTCCATGTTGGCCAGGAGCCCATACCTCCTCCGCTGCGGTTTTCTCAACCTGGAAGTAGGCCCAGGATTGCTCAGTGGCCCTCTCAAGGCTCCTCCTGGGAGCTGCTGACACCCTGTCCTGCGCTCCGCCTTCTCCCATGACCCTCTTGTCCAGTCGTCCAGCTCTCAGCCTCCTTTGCTCCACCCCTCAAAGCCTGGCTGTGAACCACCTTGGTCTAATTGCACTTCTCATAAAGCTCACAATCATTATCAGTTGCTCTACAGCAACAACAGGTGGTGGACACCTCCAGGGGCAGGGCCCTGGGTCAGGGGTGGGCAGAAGCCCCTGGGCTAGGACCCCTCCAGGGAGGTGTTATTATCCCGTTTCATTGACTAGAAGGCAGATTCTCGGACCGAGGGTTTGCCAGAGACATGGAACTGAGAACTGTCTCAGGCAGAAGCCCTGGTTCCCAACCCCAACCAGGGAAAGCAGCGGGGCCTCTCTGGGAGACGCAGCAAGTGCTCGGAGGAGAGAGAGCACTGTACATCCACAGCAGAGTCAACGTAGGATACAGAGGGCCCCTTTAGAGCATGCGGTCTGGACATGGTCAGCTGTGTGTGACAAAGGCCCTCTGGAGGTCAGCCCCGGAGAGGACGCCAAACAGGTAGGTTAGGGGCCTTAAATGGGGGCCACGGGCCTGCACCAGGCCGGACGTGTACCGCGGGGAAGGCAAGAGGGTCCTCAGCTCTTGGGGAGAGCACAGGCGGACCTAAAAACTGATGATTACAGCCAACTATGGGCTGAAAAAGCAGGAGAAGCAAGGAGCGGGGGCGGGCTCCGGTCTGGCCCTGGCCCGTGAGCCCTGGCCTCCTCTAGCTGGGCTGTGGGAAGGATGCAGTCTGGGTAGGCCGGGGTCGCAGACCCAACTTGTGCTGGTGGGGCTGAGTAAACCTCAGAGGGTCCCGGGAATCCTCGGGGCCCGCAGGCCCCCACAGGCCCCCACAGCCCCCAGCGCTGCGTCCTGGAAACCGGCAACAGCATCCACGGGTTATGAAACGGCGGCCCTCATGTCACTGCCTGACCTCACCCGCCGGCCACGTGACGGCGATGCACCGCGCCGGAGGCGGGGTTCTCGCGCCCCACCACGTGAGGCGCGAGGCGTGCGCTGATTGGCCGCGCAGCGCGGCGTGCGCCTCACGCACCTGAACGCCCGGATGAGGAAGTAGAGCAAGGCCAGGCCGATGAGGCCCGTGACCACGAACAAGGAGCGCAGAAGCGGCGAGCCCGGCGAGCCCGGCGGCCGCGGGTGTGTGCTGTTGTGCGGCGCGCCAGGGTGGCTCCAGTTCGTCGCGGCGCGCAGCGGCAACAGCGTGGCCTGCGCGGTGCTCAGCAACGGGGGCGCGGCCTCCTCGGTTCCGCGCAGCAGCGCCGGCAGCAGCAGCGCCGGCAGCAGCAGGAGCCGCGGCGGCAGCACGCGCGGCCCCATGGCCCGGCGGAAGCGGTGGCTGCGCCCCGCCCAAGCGAGCGGCTGTCACTCACTTCCGCGGGGATGGTGCCAGCCAATGGCCCGCGGGGGCGGGGCCAGGAGCGCCCCCAGTGCCCCGCCCCCCGCGCGCCCAGCCGCGGGCGGGTCACAAGAGCCGGGCTCCCCGCTGCAAGCAGCCGCCGCTTCCCGCTGAATGCCCCCGCCCCACGGGAACGCCCAAAGGTGGCGGAGGTCGCGAGGGAGGAGCGGGCACGACCGTGCCCTGCAACCGCCCTCCTCCCTGGGCCCTGGGAACTCTTGTGGTCCCGCCCCCACTCGCCCTGGGCTGCGGGGACACCAGCACCGTGGCCCGCTGCCTCTGCCCCTCCCTGAGGGCCATCTCATGGCCCTGCTAGGACTGGAGGTAATGGGCCCAGAGCTCAACCCCACGCTGTGCACCCCAAGACCAGGGCAGGAAGCGACGAACCTGGGAAGCAAGGTCGGCTCCGTGGGCGGCAAAGAGGAAGGTGCTGGGGGATCACTCGGCCAAGAGCTCGGCCTGGACCCTGGGAGAGACATGTGCTCAACTCGGATGGGGGGGGTCTGGGGACCACCTCTTCCTCAGCTCAGGCTGACCATGTCCCTCAGACCCCCAAGGGGGCAATGAAGTGACCACCTGGCCTTCCTGGTTTGCATCCAGCTCAAGCCCTGAACAAGGCCGGAAGAGCCTTTCTCCAGGGATTCTCCCCCCTGTCCCCCTCCCCCCGCCTCCACAGCCTCACCCTACACCAGACTCAAGAATACTGGGTGGACACACCATCCCTTTATTTAAATGCGACTTCCACATTTGTCTTGTTACACTCAAGGGTGGGCGAAGACTGGCCACCATGAGAGCACCATACACCCGTCTTCCTGGAGCACCTTGAAGCCCCGCACCCCAACCTTGCCAGTGAAGCACCTGCTGGAAAGAGGAGAGATGAAGGGAGAAAAGGAGGGTTGGCTCCAGCGGGAGGCACACACCTGCCCCCACCAGGGGCACAGCGGGGCAGGCAGCCAGGAGAGAACCCACCACAAGGGCCAGGTACCGCCAGGGCCCAAGGGCCACACGAGCACTTACAGGGGTCAGGCCGCAAGGGCAGGCAGCTGAGCCTCCAGCTCTCGCTCCCAGGTGACATCCCTCCTGGGACAGTGACCCTAGGTCATTGCTGCTCTTGGGCCACCCTTCTGAGTTGCACCAGTTTCTGTTCAACCTGCCAAAGCAGAGGAGCGTTAACCCCGACACCCTTGCTGAGCTCACAGCTGCCCCTCCCCATCTCCCCCAACACCGGCCACAGCTCCTAGGAGGGTCTCAAGCTAGTCACTGGAGCCAACCCGAGAGCCCCTGCCACAGGCCAGCGTGGGCCTGTGCCTTTCAGATGGGCCAGCCACCTTTCCACTCTTAAGCAGGGCCAGCTACCACTCAGGATGGAGCTGCTCAGAACTGGTGTGGGCACTGAGGGAAAACTCATGGAGGCAACAGACATGAGAGAGCTAGTCAGGAGTGGGACTTAAAGAGGTCTGGAAAAGACGATCAATTGACAATTGACGAACAAAAAAATTCAAAAGACAAGGTGTTCATTAGGTGGTCTGCAACCCTGCTTACAGATCGAACCTACTGGAGAGGCACAACTTCCCGGACCGTTCGCCTGGCCACAGGTGGGGGAGGGCGAACGGCTGGGAATGCCTTTAGCTCTAGCTCGATATAAAAAAAAGAAAAAAGGAAAATGGAAAAGCAAAAAACAGTCAAAGGAACATTCCCCGGGTACGTGACTTTCAAATGAGCTCTCGACAGGAGGGATGCGGACGAGCAAAAGGAGTTACCTCGAGTTACAGGACTATCTCCACAAATGAGCTAGCCCAGGGAGCAGCTTGCATCTCAGAGGTTTCTGTTGGGCGCACAACACTTCTGTCCTCCGAGGGGCTGCAGCTTCCATAGGCTAGCAGAGAACGCTTGGAACTTGTAAAGCAACAGTAAAGCTAGCTAATGAGCCAGTCGGTCAGTCCGTGGTCACCCAGGGACACTGCCTGCGTCTGCTCTCCAGCCTGCTTCTAGACTGAGGTGCTCTGGGTCAGCGTCAGGCGCCCCCATGTCCACCATCCCTGCTAAGCTGCCCACCCCATCGAGCCCTCCAGCTGCCACTGCCAGAAGCCTCCCGGGGCTGCCCTGGCGTCCGAGCAGCCCGCTCCCGTTACCCACCTGCTCACCTAACTGGAGCGGGTGGCAGTCTGCTGTCACAGGGGGCCCGGCCAGGGGCACTGACTCTGCCTTCCCTGTCTAGCTCTTGGCAGCCTCAGGCGGGACCGGCAGGCCTAGTCCTCAAGCTGCCCTCTCTGTTCAGGCCTGCCTGCCTTGAGCCCGCAGCAGGGAGCGTGTTGTGTAATCAAAGGGAGATGGTCAGAGCGAGGTTCATTCAGATGGTCTTTTAATCGGCTTCGTGAAGCCAAAGAGAATTGCGTACAAGAATTCCTCAACCACTTCAAATACAACACGGATGGGATATGCATACGTCTTCCAGTAAAAAGGACGGTATAAATAAACGTTTTCAAGAACCTCTCGGAGACGTCTGCAAGTCTACCGTGGGTCACACAGCACAGGTGGGCACACGGGCCGGGCCGAGCTGCCCGGCTCTGCCACTGCCACCGGGACGGTCCTACCACCCACACTCAGAAACGTGACACGCAGTTGGAAAAAAGCCACAGCGTGCTCAGCTTCTGACAGAGTGGATTCACAGTCGGATCTCTCTCAAAGAGAAGTGACTTGGGGCACCCACTTCATGGGGCCGACCAACCAAAAAGAGAAACAAGGCAACGAATCAAAAACAGCAAAACCCACACAACCCCTGATGACTTTCTAAAACTCACGGCTCGTGGTAAAAAGGTGAAAGTGAGATCTGGAGTGCTTTTCAAAACGTTTTGCAAACCTTTAAAAACAGACAACGCCTCCTTAAAAAGAAAAGTGTAGTGATGAGGCCATGGGGGGGGGTCAGAAGCAGTCAGGCTGTGTTCGACAAGATCGGAACTGATTAAGACTACAGAAGTGGGGACAAGGAGGTGTGTTCACTACACCATTAACGATTCAGCGCAGCTCCCACAATCTTTAAATATACAGCCATTGGAAGGACGATCTTGAGCAGGAAGGATTTTTACTCGTTGTGTGTAGCTGAGAACAAGAAGCAGGCACAGTGTAAAGGCACTGAAGCACGCAACCAGACCAGCATTCCACGCCCGGGCCCAGACCTGGGGGCTTGGCCCTGCGGCCTCGGGAGCGACCACCCCCCCCACAGCCAAGGGCGGCGGGCGGCAGGCCCACATGCACGTGTGCGGCCTGCTCTGTGGGCCCTCGCTCTCCCTTTCCTTCTTGGTCAGTCTGGTGTTGTCTTTACGTTTTGTGATAGAAACAGCTGCTAACACAGACCCAAGAGGGCAGTCTCATCCCTTGCGGGCAAGCACAGCGACAAGGTCTGACCGCTGCTGGCAGCGGGCACCAGGCTCACCGAGCCCCCACCACAGGCCCTTGGAGCGCCACCTACCGTAACTGTCGTAGCTGTCTCTGTAGGAGCCCCCCGCGCTCCGGTCACCGTAGCCACCACCCTGACTCCGGCTGCAGGAAGGACACATGTGGGCCGGTGCCAGCGTCTGCACAGGAGCCCACCAGCGCCAGGAGCAGGCCCGCACCCTCACCTGCTGTAGTAGTCTCTGGAGCCTCCGTAGCCACCACTCCTGGCCTCGAACCGGCCCCCGCCATAGCCTCGGTCCCCTCCCCCTATGGACATGGGCGGGAAGGAGCAGTGAGTGTCAGCTTCCACAGCAGTGCCCAACCCCAACCCTGCCAGCGACACTCACCTCTGGAGAACCCACGGCCCCGGCCTCGGCTCCCACGGAAAAAGCCCCGGGCCCCGGCAGAGCCACCTCGGTACCCACGGGAGCGGCTATCAGATGACTTGCCGGCCTGGTCAACCCGGATCTGCCGCCCATCCACAGACTGCAGGCCAGAAGTTGATACCATCACCCTCTGCACCTCCCGCCCTCCACGTGCAACCCCCACCTCTGGACCCCCGGCTGCCCCTCACCTTCCCATTCATGGCCATCATGGCGTCCTTGGCATCGTCGATGTTCTCAAAGGTAACAAACCCAAAGCCCCTGGACCGCTGGGTCTCTCTGTCTTTCACGACCACCACTGTGCAGGGGAGAGGTCTGCAGTCAGCACCCAGCCCTCCCGGGAGCAGCCCCGCCTGGCCACAGTCTGGCGCCAGCCTCACCTTCTGAGATCTGTCCATATTTCGAGAAGACCTGCTCCAGCGACTGCTCGTTGGTGTCAAAACTCAGCCCTCCGATGAAAAGCTTGCCTTCGTCTGATGATGCCATGGTGGCCTGTGGCAAACACCATTGAAATCCTGAGGTCCTGCTGGGGCTCAAGACTCACCCCTCTCTACTTCACTCTAAACGACATATGCTCCTGGGGGACACAATGGAAAGGTACTTTTCTGCTCCTTAACCATCCCTAGCCTACACCCAGGACTTAACTCAAATAAGCCCTTAATTCCTTTATCACCTCAGGCCCTTGCCCTTTTTCTGTGCTTGGGCCAACTCTGTCCCCCTAAGACTGGGGGGCTCCCTGAGGGGTGGGGCCACACCGCAGTTCTGAGCGCGGTTCCTCAGTGCTGCCCTGGCTGTGGGGCCCCAAAACTCCAGCCAGGATGCGCCCTCATGGGACGTTTAGGGTTGGACCCTCAAGAAAGTCATTGGCTACCAACGCCACGGGCTGAGCGAACCTTGGTTTCTGTCCTTTGCAAACAACGGGCAAACCCCTAACCTGGCCACGGGGGCGCAGGGTGGCAAAGTGCTTGGTCCACTGTAGGGCGCTGTGCAGGGTGGCCGAGGACTGGACGCTGGGATGTCAATGCGGGACGGGCATGTGGGGAGGGTGCTTAGACTGACCCCTGACGGGCTAGGAGGCCTCCGCCTAATGGCTCCGAAACACAGGCCAGAAGACGACCTGAAGCCGCGCAAATCGGACCCACACTTGGGGCGCGGGGGGTGGGTGGCACCAGGACTGTGCTGCCCTCGCACGACTTCAACGGGAAAGCGGGGAGGAGCCCCGGTCCCGCCCCGCGCATGCGCTCCGCGCCCCGCCATCCGGGGACCCGGCGCTCCCGCCATTTCGCTGGGCGCAGCCTCACGCTCCGGGCCGCCATTTTTGCGGC